CTATATAATCTGATTGGAAGGTACAAACTTACACAATGGCTAAAAAATAGATCATTTTACCTATACTTTTGAGCCATATTATCTCTTTAATATCATCTCAAAAATCAATTATATAAAGTTGATTATGAAAATCTTTAATCAACTTTAAAGTTATATATAAAGAAGACCTATTGTAAAAAATCTCTATAGAAGTTACATGAAATTGTCTTTTTTAGTATTAAATTTGGGCACAAAGATTCTATTATGATCAACACTAAATAACCGATTTTTGGAGTATCGATAAAAAATTTTTATAAAATAAGAATTATATAGTAATTAGGACATGGCGTACTTTAGAAAATAGGGGTGTGGTTTAATAAAATTTAGAGTAAATGTACAAAAACCGGTCAAAAATCATTTTAGCATACAAATTTATATGCTAGACAGTTTAAGAAATAAGTGATTTTTGACAAAGTAAATGTTTGGTTTGATTTTTTCTGATTGTGTAATGTTATACTTGATCTTGAAATGTAATTGGTTTAAAATCATGTACAGATTAAAATTTCAAAAAATTTGGTGGCAATTTAGGGGTAGTTTTAACCAATATCTTTCCCAGTAAAAATTCTTTAAGTTCATTTAGATTAGAGTTAGGGTCTGTACTAATATTAGAGTTAAAGAAGTATTATTAATAAAATCGCTTAAGAAAAACTTTTTGTTAGAATATTAAAGGTAGTTTCTTATGCTAGTTTTTGAGAAACAAGCAATTTTTGACAAAGCAAACATTTGTTTTAAATTTTCTGATCATGTAATCTGATTTGTTTATGGCACAAAATTGTCATGTAACTGTAACATTTTGGTGGTGATACTGGGTAGGGTGTCCAGAATTATGATCTGGCATAATATGCACATAATTTGCGATTTTTATTATATGAAATCGCATAATCTGCTCACTTTCATACAGCATGTAAACAAAAATTAATTGGTTAAACAAATAAACCGGTGATAGTAATCACCTGACTTGTTGTTCTTTTTAAAATTTTAACTCAAAATTTGCATAATTTTATCGAATGTATGAGATTTATTGAAGTATATTTGGAAATAAATGAATAGTATATAATAAGATCACATGCTTTGGCCTCATTTTATTATTGGTGGTCCAAACTGTAGTACAAAGCAAATTCTAAGTTATATAGCAAAAAGTCTAATAATTTCTTTATATATATAATACTCTAAGATACAAGCAATAGTTTAACTAGGCCATTTTCTAATATATTTGGGTAGGATTTTCTTCTTACCTTACAATATTATAGAGTAGAGAGCATGTGATCTTATTATATACTATTCGTTTATTTTCAAATGTATTTCAATAAATCTCATATATTTAATAAAATAAACATCATAGTATATAATAAGATCACATGGTTTTTTTTTTTTTTTTTAAATTTGGCAGTCTTGCCAATACCGTTTATTAGTATATTAAGGTATTTTGGTTACAAATATCACATATACAATTACAACACTCTAATGTATTATGAGATATTGGCTTACCCAGTTACTAACTTAGTACCTATGTGTGACCTGCTATATAAGATTTTACCTCCTTAATAACTGCCCTGCAACCAGACCAATTACTAAATCACTGAATAGTTTCCAAACCTATTTTTATCATATATATTCCACTTATATACTACTGTATAACATCCACCAACCAATTTCCATCTCTCATCATTTATCACATTACTCCTAATTCGGTACTTGTATTACTTTCAAATTGGTGTCCTTCGAGTGGGCGCTTTTTGTGCTTCCAGTTTGGTGTCCCTAGAGGAGTTACTTTATGGGCCTAGCTATATCTCAAACAGTTAAGTTGCCAAACTAGGATAATATTTCACATCGATCCAGATATTTGTATCGTACACCACCAAATTAGGCTACCAATCCTTTTATAGTACTCCCTATTGGTATGGTGTTACAGAAGTCTAGATCCTTAGGACGGAAGTTATATACCTCATTTAATCACTGTCACAAGCCAGTTACCTGGGAAAGATCACATAGTTTTTTAAAGCAAAGTTATATATTTCTAGCTTGATTTATAATTTTTTTGGTGATATTGTTCTGTTCTAACATTAATTTTATACCTCTCTGATAGAATCATTGGTAAGTCTTTAAGCTAGACCAATTTCCCAATGCTAGAATTGAATTCAGGTCGGCACCTCCATTTTGCACCAACAAAGCTGATAGGACTCAAATATCTTTTGCTTTTTCATTCAGAGCAGAGTATCTACTAATATCCTTTAACTAATTGGAAATTGTGTCGATTGCTACAGGTTTATGAAACCCTATGCTAGATAAGAATATTGATATTCTTTGCTCAGTGGTGAAACAGAGACCTTGAGTTCTTTCCAAATAGCTGATTAAAACTATAGCTAGACACAATACTTCGTCATCATGGTATCTACCAATAAAGATCTTTTTGGTATATTTCTTATTAATACTATGATATGTGGCTATATTGATTTCCTTGGGATTTATGCATTGTATAGTAATTCCATTTTGGGTATTCATCAAACTAGTCAAGTTTAAACATACAAGATTAGATGGTCGAGAAGCTGAAGATAAAGCACACAGAAATGTGGTTTTCTTTGCAAGAGCAACCAAGAGTAATTATAAGTTGTCGCCAAGTGCAACAATATAATCCAAAGATAGTGTTATATCATATATTTCATCACTTGGTTCTGTTGGAGGGTTTGTTCTGAATATACCTAATATTAATTTGGCTATAACTTGGTCTTGTTAATTATTGATGTATTCATGCATTTCACTTATAGTTGACCTATAAGCTGCAATAGTGTTATAGGATTTTTCTTCGTTCACCTTTACTGTAGAAAATTGTATAATATCATTTACAAGGCAATGAATGGGATCCTTGTCATTCTCCAAACACTATGAGGTCCAGATACGTATATTGGATGATATAGTATTGGTTGAGTTTGGGTCAAGAGCTTTAATGCATAAGTTGATAGCTTGTTGTGAAATGCCTTTCTTTTGGAGCTGCTCCCAGAAATAAGCCATGTGCACATTTGGTATTTCATTGTTAATTGGGTATGGAGCCCGATATTGGGCCTGGGAGGAGAAGATTTTTCATTGGTAAGATCCAAGGTAGGTCTATAATCATGTTCATTAGTGATAGAAACCAATTCGCTAATATTCATAAAGGAGTTATTAGGCACATAGTTGCATGTTTTTTCTGTGTTTTAGCTAGAATTTTGAAAATCAATATCCATGGAGGATTCGCATAGCTCGTTGTACCTGCTTATGTTTGTGTAAATACATTCATTGCTATTGCTGTTGGGTCGGGTGCCATGAGTAGTATGTTGGTAGTTGGGTATTGAGTTTGTTAGCAAAAAGGTCCACCTTGAACAGTCCCCACATATTGTAAATTTTGTTGAATGTCTTGGAATTCAATATCCAATCATATTTGTTAAATCGGAGTCAGGACACATAGTCTGCTATTACATTTTGGGTCCTTGGTATATGTTGCACTTTCAATTTGATCTTCCTTTCTAGACACATTTCCCAAATTAGTTCCACTATTGTACTGATTTTTGGAGATACTACTTTGCCTTGGTGGTTGAAGTATGCTATACATGTTAGATTGTCCATTTTGATTAATACTGATTTGCCTGTTAGGTCTTTGAATATCATTATTGCGAATTGAATTGCTTTCATCTCTAATATATTGATGTGAAGTTTCTGTTCTTCTTTCTTCCACAATCTGTTTATTAAAGTCTTTCTTCTGTGTATACCCTAACCATGTTGTGATGCATCTGTATGTATTGTGACTAATAGTATTTCTAAAATCAAGGATTGACCATTTCACCTTTCTAGTTGGTTTATCCACTATTGTAATTGCTTCTTTGCCTTTGCTGATAGTTTTAAAGAGGTGTTCCAACCTCCTAATCTTAAGGCCTAGTTCTTTATTCTCAATAACTCTTGTGATTTTAGCCTTGCTGGGTATACTGCACTTGTTGTTGCTAAAAGCTTTCCTATTATTGCTACCAACTTCCTGATGTGGATTTTTTGCATTTTTAAAACCAAACTGCAATCTCGCTTCAGTTGGTTTGTCTTTTTCTTTGGAAGGATAATAGTTATTTTTCTTGAATTTATTCTGAATCCCAAGTAATTTATAGATTGAGTGGGTACTATTTGACTTTTTTCGATATTTATTATAAAGCCCAATTTGGTTAGAAGTTTCTGCACCATCCGGAGATGCTATTTCAGAATTCTTTTGTTGTTTGCCATTATCAGAATATCATCCAGATATGATACAATTCGTATTTCCATTTATCTCAATGTCTTTATTATGGGTTTTAGTATTTTCGTGAATATTCTGAGGCAAGATGTTAAGCCGAAAGGAAGATATCTGAAACAGAAACGTTGTTTCAAAAAATCGAAAACAAAGTACTTTTGGGCAGAAGAATATAAAGATATGTAAACAAAGGCATTTTTTATATCGATAGAAGCTAAATAATTGTTTCTTCTGACTAAGTTTTTTACTGTAGCAATAGATTCTATTTTGAAATAGATGTGTTTTACAAAAAAGTTTAAAGCTCTTAGATCTAGGACTATCTGTTTTTTTCCATTCTTCTTGTCGACTATAAAAATGTTAGAAATGTAACAAGGTGCCTGTTTTGAAAAAGGCTCTATTGCTTGTGTTTGCAGTAAAACCAAAATTTCTTTTTTGGCTAATTCTAAGTTTGCACCATTTATGAAATTGTCTTTTATAGAGTGAAATTTTATAGGTGGTTTGTAATCCCATTCTGGTGAATAACCATGTTTTACTATTGATGTTGGCTATGAATACTCGAATTTTTCTAACCACATTTGTTTGAAATATTTCAAACATCCTGGTACTGGGCATAAGTTTATGGATAACCACCATGTTAATTGTCTGATTAGAAGTTTTCATGGTTTTGTTTTGCTTTTTCCATCTTATTATATCCTTTAGATCGATCTCAATCTTGTCATCTTGTTTGTGGTTGCTGGTATGATTGATTAGAGAAGTAAGATCTGCGTTTTTCTCTATTAGCATTATTAAATAGTTTGGATTTGATGTTTTCTTTTTCTACAAAATCCTTGAATTTGTCACCAAATACATCTCTTCTGTCTTTGGTCAGGACATGATTAGAAGAAATTGCTTTAAGTGCAAATTCTTTTCGTAGATTATTAGCATATGATAATGTATCACGTAAGAGTTCTCTGGCATTTTGAGTTGATTTTCGTAGCATCTTAAACCCTTGTGTAGCTTCGTGATCATCATCATTAGGTTTTGACTCATATAAGACTTTTTCAATATTGTCGATTGGACGTAATACTGCTGAGATTTGGTAAAACATATTTCTAATGATTTTGTCAAATTCTTTTTGTTGTTTTGATATTGAACGCCAGAAGTATGGTTCCATTTGTGGGGGCTTGTAATCAACTTCTGCATTGTGTGATTCCTCTCATAATATTTTTTGTCATTCTGATTTTGAGAGTGTACAATCTAAGTAAATTTCGGTATGTAGGTTTTTGAGATCTCCTGTAGGAAACCAAGGTCTTGGTTTATTTGAATTAAAGGCTTCATCCAAGTCCTGGTTATCTGTGTATTGACTGTAATTGGTTGAGTTTCTGTCATAAAAGAATGAATTTTTTTTTTTTTTTTTGAGGTGTTCTACCAAGAGCGGACTGCACCAAAAATAAAACGGCCTAGTTAGACTATTGCTTGTATCTTAGAGTATTATATACATAAAGAAATTATTAGACTTTTCGCTGTGTAACTTAGAATTTTGCTTTGTACTACAGTTTGGACTACCAATAATAAAATGAGGCCAAAGCATGTGATCTTATTATATACTATGACGTTTATTTGGATGGGGTAGTTTTTAACCGCAAATCTTACGTTTTTGATACACCTGCACATACTTTTTTGATACTGATCGACATGCAGATCCCGGTAAAAATAAAA